TGTCTGTCTGTCTGTCTGTCTGTCTGTCTGTCTGTCTGTCTGTCTGTCTGTCTGTCTGTCTGTCTGTCTGTCTGTCTGTCTGTCTGTGCGTGTAATTTCCGAGCGGCTTAATCAAGAGAAGAAAATGGTAAGAGCTATGGGACTGGTTTTTTCGGTATAGTTTCGACAAAACTCTGACGAAGCCAAATGAAACAGTTAAATATTCTGCCCCTAAAGTACAGGTTTGATTACCATGATCTCAAGTTCTTTCATTCCCTAGTGCATCAATACCACCCTTGCACCACTCTGCCTCATAACCTTACTTTCTTCTCCGGGTCAAGCCGACTGAGAAGCTCACATCTTGATCACTTATCAGTAATATCTTCAATTCCACCTGGCTCAGCTATATCTAAATCTTACTTTTATCGAGCTCATCTCACTTGGAACCGACTTCCTCTTTCCCTTCGAGAGATTATCAGACCAGGTGTGTTTAAAACAGAACTTATTAAACACATCTGGAAGGAACATGTTTGTACTGCATCTGTAGATATTGGCCCTAGTTCAGATCCTGACAATTCTTTTTCTCCTGACTACGGGTAGTGTATTTCTCTATTATTTTTGTTTTTATTTTTTTTGAGGTACTCATCACGCATTTTTGCTTTATTCGGATACAATTTTGATTTAGTCTTTTATATTCGATTATTTTCAAAATTTTATCTTTAAACTTCATTCCATTGGAAATATTACAAATTAGCCAATTGTAATTGAGAATTTTTGGGTTGTGGCAATTATTTTTAAAAACCTAGAAATTCCTCCTAAGGTCACAGCCCCAGCTCAAGATTTATGCGAGATTGCGAGCCGGACTCATCGCACAAAATTTGTAAATAAATGAGGAAACAGAAAAAGTTTAACTTAAAAGTTGAGGGAATTAGGAACTTAACATGTATTTTATACTCTTAACGTGTATTTTATCACTTGTTTATAGCGTGAAAACTTCGACGTAACGCGCGCGAGATTTTTGCCAGATTTTTGCGAGTTTCGTTTAAATCTCATAGCTAGGCTCACAATATCGTGAGATTCTCCGCGAGATTTCGGCACCCTCTTTCAGCACTACATATTCGGTCGCGCGCTTGCATTTTCATCGCTTTTCAGCGTGTTTATTCACTGTACTGTCTAAGTCTTAAAGGATACTAGTTGTTATAAGATCAAGATTCACAGTGGTTACTATAGTTACCATGGTTACCATTAAAGGAGGTACTATTCCTGGCTATATTCTTTCTCAGAATATACTTGATACTGCCATAGGCATAGTGAATATTTCTTCATTAAAAGTTTGAGAAAGGGTCTCTTCAACTGGAGAACTGACTTATTAATCCTAGCAGGTAATTAACTCTGGATCCTCATCACATTGATTCCATTCTAAATTCTAGCCATAAACAAAACAAACATTACCAGATAACTCCGTTTACAATAATTTGACATGTTCCAGTGTGAACGAGGCCTTCCCCGGACAAATCCTTAAATGCCGGTCTTCTCAGTCTCTTAGTTCTCTAGATGAAGTACGAACAGTATAATCTATCGGATAACGTATATTACAAGGTGCTCTGATGATAATTTTAGTAAAATAATTAATAATTGCCAAAAGAATGACCGCTGACGAGACTCGAACCCGAGTCAACTGCTTGACGAGCGCGCCCTCAACCATCGTGCTACGTGAGGCTTACCATAATTACAATATGTAACACAATATAATTCATGAAAATACGCACGTAAATTTTTCGTTATTTATGGATCCAATAACAGTGACATACTTTTCGCTTACAAAGGGACTCGCGAAATCTTTTTAAATAGAAAATAATTTGTGGGGCAAGAAATCTTGCAGGCTGGAGGGGGGGGGGGGGGTGGGGAGTACATTTCGTGAAAATCGCACTTCTAGTGTCAAAATCCAATCTCATCGCACTTTTTTTAGAATCTTGATAGGGGGTCACAGCTCTTATTATTTGCCCATTTTTCTCCTTCTGCACTTGGGGCCCAATGTAATTGCTCGACTTTTCATCAGGTCTCTCGAGGCCTTTTGTTTGGTTATTTGGGTGTATTGGTGTCCCCTGATTGTTATCATCGCTGAACACTTGTCAAGGCATTTCTTGGTTTCTCTAGTCCATTTTTAGAAATTCTATACAACATTGATATTGTAATAAATTCTGATTGAAAGATTTCAAAAAATAAAATAAAATAAAGGTTTTTTAAATCGGTCGGTGGTAAGTGGTTTAAAGGACCAGTTAACTGAAAAATTTGTAGTCTCCAATTTGGCTAAGATTTAAATCAGCTGTGACAAACTGGTAAAGAATCGTATCGCCGAAAGAACCAACTCTCTAGCGTACGTGTAACGCGTGTTATTGCAATAATAAGCTGTGGCCGCGTGACGTCATAAAGTCCCTCAGTGCGCGCTTGCATAGCGTAATACAATGCACAAATGTTTATCATCGTCAATAAAACACGTGTTACTCACTCAAATTTTAGAGTTATGACTATTTCCCTAGTTCTACAAAATCCTTATAGTTTTGGCTATCACCCTAACTATATGAATAGCTGATTGGATGTACAGTGCTCACGTCAGGATTTTAAACAGTGACATAAGTTCTTGAACAGTGGCGGGTGAATGTACGGTTAGAAAGTCTCTGCTATTACAAGTTATGTCATATGTGATAATTTTGGATTGTTTTCATTGCTTCATTACAAACGAAGGGAGACTGTACCGATTATTTTTCCCCAGTACATGAAACTAATACACAAAACAATGTGCTATATATTAAATATAGCTGATAAGAGTGTAACTCTGTAATATAATATTACAGTTGTTCGGAAGAATGCGAGCAGTCGAATGGTTCGCTGTCCTAAAAGACATAGTTCCGAGAGCAATTATATTTTTAGCATAGCGAAATTTCTTACTATACTTTAATCCACACGTGCCAGACAGTACAGGAGACAAGAAGTCTGGCTATTTTACGGCCGTTCCCATGGGACCATTAGTAGAAGTAGCTCCTATCAGAACGGTGCCGTGGGAACCGAAAAATACCCGGTCTACTAAATACTGATTGGACTGTACAGTGTGCGGAGTGTTTTGAATTTGACTTACCTAGTTATCGTCCTACTTGTATGATCATAAAATTAAATACCAAGTGCAAACGTGTTCAGTCAATCGACCCACTGAACAACTATAGAATTTCCAAGACCCTATTATTCTTTGGCCATATATATTACGGCACGATCGATTCTTAGATGGCTAAACTACAAACGTTAATCTATACAATTCTTAAACTATGAGATAGCACTTTAATCTAAAAATACACTTTTTATATTACTCCTGATTTTTACATTTCAATTTTCACGTAAAACATTGTAGCCATAGGTTGATCATGGACACTGACAGCTTAATTTTAGATAATAATGATTTATGAGTTTCTCTAAAGTTAACTCTAAACTTGTGTAGTCTAGTCATTTATGGACATTTATGGAATTGAACCTGCAAATTTTCGTGTACTCCCGAAATTTTGCAAAGACCTTCCCAAAAGTATGAATAAACGATTTTCGGTTGGAGACATATTGACCACGCCGATATTGACCCAATAACGTAACCGACCCTTTGCTTCTGAAGGTCGTGGAGACTTCAAAATAGGCTTAAACGAAGCCGCATATGCAAGTTTATATAGGAGTTATTCAGCAACACATGGCCTAAAATCCTTACTTTTCGAGAAATTCGCCAAAAACCATTTTGGGCGTGGTGCTGAGCCCATTTTCGATAGGATCGTGATAGAGTCTTTAAACAGGGTGCAAAAGAACCGCATTTAGCATATTAATATATGACTTACGAAGAAACAGATGCCTTAAAGTGCTTACTTTTTCAGTTATTGGCGAAAAACTGATTTCCGGTTCCAGAAATCATGCAAAAATATGGGTATCTCGTAAATTGGGCTATGAAGGCCCTACAGATTTTTGAATGGATGCAAATTGTGCAGAATGGCCATGTTTATATACAACTTATGAAGCAACATGTACCCTAAAACACTTACTTTTCGAGTTATTTGGGGGAGAAACATTGTATTATGTCCATTTTTACCTGTAAAATACAGTCTCACGAGCTGCTCTGTGCGCGCAAGGGACTTTATGACGTCATCGCCAAAATAATACAAACGCTAATTACACGCGTTAGAGAGCAGTTAGAGATTTAGGAATTTCGACTCGTTGCTCAGTTTGCTATTTGTCACAATCTGTCAAAATATGAGGATAACTTTTTTTTCAGTTAACTGGTCCTTTAATTAATGGTTTTGTACCACAAATGTGACATAAAATGGCTCTCTTTTTCTCCCTCCTCGCTCTCTCTCCCATTACTGCATATTATGTAGCTGCATATGTAGCGTTGGTACATGAATCATAATTAGGTTAGCCGCGTAAGATTCACTGTCATGTTAAACTATACGCTTATTAGAGGAGGGGGCTCTCATTGCGGTCTGTTTGGACTGTAGAAAGAGTTCATACTTTCATATGACAATGTTATGCGTGTTTGAAAAAATATAGTAGGCGGGTTTATACTTTGCATTTCAACTGCGATAGTGAAGTCCCGGCCGTAGGCACGGGTAACACTAGTAATACATATTTGAAGTAAACATTGGCCAGTAAGCAAAGCTGGTCCCCAATAACTATGTCCATGCGTGGCCTGGTCTGAGTCTTCTTTTTCATTTCATAACTTACCCTATATCACTATATGACATTCATTAGGTCATTAGAGTGAAGTCTTTACGAAACTTAAAATCTCATAGATCATTATACGTGGAAATCTCAAATTCAGCTTCTCGAGCTCAGAATAAAGTTCAAAGGGTCAGAACCAGACTTCTGGTCTTCTGTAAAAGTGTTTTGCCATTGAATTGACAAATACTCTTTAAAAATATATAGTTTGCCCTATGGCCTGTATAGTTTGCTTTTCATGACATGCGCACTTACGAATTTTAACCCTACTATTTCAGAACGGACTGCCAAGTGCTGATAATCCCTACGTTATAAACGGAGACTTTGTGGATAGAGGCCCTGCTAGTGTGGAGGTTCTTATTTTCATTTCTATATTTTCTAGTTGTAATTCCCATTATTCGAGTTACTGCTACTAATTTACTCGCATTTTTTCCTCAACTTTAGGTGAAATGGGCATGGGTACCGATGTGCGTTGGTGATAGGTTCATAATTCAATAAATTGGGTAGATTCTGATAAATTGAATTATTTGTGTTTACTTTTAGAATTTTGGGAATATTGTTTTCAGTCACTTAACCATTCAGTGACGTAATATGAATATTGAATAAGGATTTAACCAGCTTTTAACTAGCTTTACTCTAAAAACTTTTGTAAAAATGGACAAAGACTATTTGTCTGTAATTTCATGATTTAGGGCATATTCGGCCATCCAATATGTTCGTCTGTAAATTGTTGGACTGCGAAATTTCTGAAAATGCCATAAAAAGCACAGAAGACATCTAAATACCTTGAATCGACATTTTGACCAAAACTTTGACAGCCACTTTGATACGTAGTCCAAATAATTAAAGTTGGATCCCCGTTTGCTGGTCTGCGTTGACTGATGTTTTTCTAATCGAACCCTAATGAGACACTTAAAAGTTAGCGATTTTGACAACTCGCAGGTTTTGTGTTTCAATATCACTTGCTCATGGTCGAGGTGTATCGAGACTGTTCCAGGGAAAGATGGTAGAATATTGATAGTGGTAAAACTGATTGTCTGTGGCATTTACGAGGGCGTTATTCTTGTAAGATACAGCAACTAAAGACAGTAACAGTGTTTAGTGTTGCTGTGCAAGTCTAACAAGCAAGCCATCTTACGCGTACGGTTGAAAATGTCTTGTATATTGCAGTAAAACTATGTACCCTATTTACTGCAAACCCCAATTATTGCGGTAGACCTTGGTTTTAATGAAATGAACTAAAAAAGTAAACATTGTACAACACATGACGCACTGTAATCAAGCAACAAATTCTCTAAAGAAAGTAACGTGTAGATTAAAAGAGATATTTGGATGTTAGAACTAACACAACAACCTCACTATAATGCTGCTGTGTAATACTGTAGCACTACATAGCACTGTATAATATTAATAATGCTGTCAGGAATCTTGTCATCTACTCAACAGAACATTTAATCTAGAAGTTTAAGTGAATCTTATCGAGAGGTTGGTTGGCGAGGGACCTCGTGGTAGAATGTAAAAAAGCGTCACAAGGCTGCCACACTCTACTCGAATGAACTTTAGGTCTGACAGATTTTGTCTCGAAATCTGGAGGTCATACCTTATAGAGTATAGAGTATAATAGCCCCATGTACATAATAAATGATGTTCTCAAACTGTTCTAGAGTTATTAACACTGATAACTTGGTCGCCCTTTTTTCGGGGGGGGGGGGGGGGGGGGATCGTACGGTATTAAGTGTATGACCCCCCCCCCCCCCCCCCCCGCTCTTTTGGGACACCCTGCACATATAAACATCCAAATATTGTGTTTTCGCCCATATAAAAATAACATTTATTTTAAGGGTGTTAGTCTGGGCTGATTACGTAATATTATAATAATTACACTAATATTATAATAATATTACCCAATCCAATATATGAGATTGCTATCGCTTATTTTACACATATTTATGACTAAAATGCAACTGTACATATTATATTAGCAACTAAGTTGCTAAGCAACAGTACATTTTAGCAACTGAGCAACTCGACATTTCGTTTCATTTTGTCGCACCATCAATTATATCTATGGTATTGTGCTCGGTCAATTTTTTTGGAAAATTGTAAAAAAGAATAGCCAGAGCAAAAACACCCGTATTAATTTCCTTCATAACTTACAATTTTACAGGTGTCTATTCTGTTGTTTATTCTCTGTCTCCTCTACCCAAATTCCTTCCTCCTCAACCGTGGCAATCACGAGGATGTTATTATGAACAAAAGATACGGCTTTACTACAGGTATGTACTAGTGTCTTTTATTTGTTTGTTAGTTTTTTTGTGCGTCTGTCCTTGAGTTGATTACTATATACAATTGTTTTAGTTTGTACATGTAATTTTTTTTTAGTTTGTACATGGTGAATTCGTATTGTGTACATTCATTGCTCAGATAATATATTGCTCATTAATTTTGGTAGTAGAAGTTCATTCCACATTCAAAATGTCTACGAATAGAGATTAAACCAATTATACCAAACATTTCCATTTCTCTCAACACTGATCCTGCCAAATTTAAGGTGTCTGGAACATTTTATCCATACTAACAAAATCCAGAAAATGTAATGGTTTAAATTTAATGATGAGCTGTTTGTGCTTGACATGAGGTGTAACTCGTTTTTTAAAACATTTTCTGTTAATATTTCTATCTAATTATTTATTCAATAATAGCCATGTGGCACGCTGCAACTAAATTATTCGAGATTCTTCTCGACTTGATGTCAATTTATTATCGGAGAAAAAGACGATTTATCAAGGAGCAACCTTACATTCTACCTATTACTCATTTCTCAAGATGTCCACTACATGAAGTTGCTCTACCACTTTGACTTATGTCCCTTAAGCGCTTTTAACTACCGTTCACCAAACCTTGACTACGGCTTTGTTAACAAGGTTTGGCCGGTAGAGGGTCCGCAGTAGTCCCATTACCTTAGTATTGCTGTACAACTACTACATGATTATTTATTCATTCATTATAAATACCAATGCTGTTTTTTAGAATATTTTCTGCAGACATTCCAATCTAACTAACTTAATATCTCCAGCTCTACACTAACCAGGTAAACTTATAGACAAACCAGATAATATAATAATAATATGTAACCGCGCAATCATCCCCCAGTAATTGCTCACAAATACACGGCGTGTAGCGACAATTGTTATAATGCAGCTCTCATCATCACTGATTAACAAGATCAGCCCTATTTAGGTTGTGCAGTATAATATCGGCTCATCTCTCGTATAGTCAGTTAAATATCCCTATTTTATTATTGATATGTTGGACGAGCTGTGCCTTATAACCAGGAACGTACCAAGTAACAGGTATTGTTAGAATACGAAATAAAGTTTTGATATCACCAAAGTAAGACCACTCTGGATAACAAGACAGAACAGCTGCTCTGGTTCATAATGGGAATCAGGGATAGTGCGCCTGTAACAGTGTGCTTAAGTTGTTACACATAGATAATACTCTAATAGGTATAAGACACAGTGTGCCTAATGCCTAATAATATAATGCCTATATAAACTAAGTCGCAAGTTTGATACTGAACATTGTAGATAGTGTTTATGCTATGGGGGGATATAGATGTGACGTGTATAATGTGCATTGTCCTTTGCATTGGTTCAATAAAGTTGCGCCACAACTATACTTTACACAGCATTTAAAAAGTAATTTAGTATAATTGTTTATTACATCAGGTTTTAGAGTATAGTAAGAGCGTGATGATAAATATAGCAGAGCGTGGCTCTGTCTTCCGAGAAGAGGGTAAATTAGTTGGATAAAGTGCACGTGCATGACGCGCACGTGCACGTGCATTACTTTTGGGAAGGAGGTGGCAGTAAACTGTGTTCATTAGCTGTAATGATTTTACAATTTAGCTGTAATGATTTTACAATTAAGCTGTAATGATTTTACAATTTGGCTTTAATCATTTTACAATTTAATTGATTAAAAGATTAGCGAAAATGGTCGGCGTGATAGGCCAGTTAATTGTATATCCGGGCTTTTTTAATTGATGATCAGTCTTATTAAAAGAAATCACGCTCTTACAGTCTATCTAAAACGTTAGAACGTTTATTGAACGCATCTTAGATTTATAAATTCATAAAGCAATATATTTTAATCGTGCTGTAAATAAGACAGTGCCAAACAATCTGTTCCTCAATCTCAAATAACCACCACTAATTTCCTATCTACGATATAAACGATAATTAATTGTTCCTCTCTTATCAAATCTTAACAGCGAACAAGTCAAACTAATTTAACTAAATTACGAAAATGCTCTGAGTTTCTCAAGATTAAGACCGGGATATTACCCACTTTACCATCTAGAAATTTCTCAACTTTACCCGTCAGAATTAAGAATGATACTTAATAACTTAAAGATGTAAATTTGTGAGTGGGTATGATTATCCGGGCAGTGTGGAAACTTCCATTCTCTTTCACAAAGTATGCACTACTCCGTTCACAAAGTATGCACTACTCGTTCACAAAGTATGCACTACTCGTTCACAAAGTATGCACTACTCCTTCACAAAGTATGCACTACTCCTTCACAAAGTATGCACTACTCCTTCACAAAGTATGCACTACTCCTTCACAAAGTATGCACTACTCCTTCACAAAGTATGCATTACTCCTTCATAAAGTATGCACTACTCCTTCACAAAGTATGCACTACTCCTCCACAAAGTATGCACTACTCCTTCATAAAATATGCTGATTGCTAAACAATCTGACAATATCGCACACGCACGTCATGATCTCATGTCCTCACAGCCAACTTGCGCAAAACGATTAGTTAATAGTTCCTTTGAGCACACATAGTAATAGGTTGTTGGAGTTTATGTACGTTACATTTTTACTGAAAAAGTTCCGCCTAAAAGCAATCTCCGTGACGAATCACAGTTACTTTCAAGTATTTGTATCTGTAAGTACTAACCATCAAAGGTGTGTAACTTAACTTATGCGGTTAGTAACAAATGATCGGCCTGATAGTCTATACTAATACTATTTTACACCATTGTAACCTTTGTAGGAATAAAATAAATGGTTTAGAATTTTAAACCGGTTGTCGTGGCGCCTTGAGAGCAAATCAAGAATCATTACCGAACGGTGCAAGGTTAAAACGGTTAAGTCCTAAATATTTAGACTATCTAAATCACACTCTTGGTAAATGGTACAGTTTAATTAAGCTATTCAGTTAATTAAATGTAGTGATTGGTACAACGTTTACGTAACGTCTTGAACTCTAGGTTGAAAAATAGAGAGTTCAAGACATTACGTAATAAATAAATAATAAAAATCGGACGAAGTCAATTCAAAGTCATATATAATATATATATTATATGATTCAAGTCTAAGCTGACACAGTCACAGAGCGAAGAAATTGTGGTTGCGACTTACGAAAGCACCTGTTGTGCAATTTATAAAACAAAAGAAAACAGGCACAGCTTTTATATGATGTGTATAAGTGAATTATTGGTGGAATGATATGTTGATAAGTTGACATTATCGCTGTGTATTTTTAAGTGTAGCGTAGAATAATATGCAATGTACACCTTACTAATTTTTTTTAAATTTACCAAATATTCCTCATATTTCTTAAAATATTAGCGCCACGCTTAGTTAACTGCATCGCGCAACAACCCTTTGTATTATCTAATTTAGTATCTATAAAACGTTTTTTTAAATTTTTCGCTCTTTTTAAACACTACCCTAATTCAATCATAGCAAACTACTGAAACTTCACCAAATTTACAACCTGCTCAAATGAACAGTTCATTCCTCATTAATTATTTAATTAATTAATTAATTTCAGAACTGGTAAAGAAGTACGGTTTGCTAAAATGAACAGTTCATTCCTCATTAATTAATTAATTAATTAATTAATTACAGAGCTGGTAAAGAAGTACGGTCTGCTCAAATTAACAGTTCATTCCTCATTAATTAATTAATTAATTAATTTCAGAGCTGGTAAAGAAGTACGGTCTGCTCGCCAACAGGATCTCAAAAGGATTTGAAGGAGTGTTCAGAGTGCTACCTCTGGTAACTGTGGTAGATAACAGTGTGCTGATCTGTCACGGTGGTGTGTCAGATATTACTGACTTGAATTATATCAACGATATACCTCGACATAAGGTATGTGAAACACAAGGATTTGTTTTTTACGGGTTTAGTGGTAAGTTTAAATTGTGAGATTGACAGATATTTAATTCATGTTAATGGGGTATAATTTGAGTATGATATTATATAGATATCTAGTGCAGATATGTACCGTGCTTATAAGCAGTTGACACTGAAGATGAACTGTGGTTAGGTGATGAATTTGATTCATGATTGTTCAACTATGTACAACAAGTAGACGATCAGCGAATCTCATGATTCTGTATCAAACACTTACAAACATCTCCATTATAATTATATCTTCAATCTATATTTCAATGAAATTGTAAGGAGCAACCTCTGAACTGTCAATCACACCACCTATCGCTCTACTCCAACTGGTCTAGTGTATTATATAATATCACCAAGATGAAATTTAAAATGAATGACTTTCCCTGGACAGGAGTCATTAAAATCGTATAATTCAGTTCAACGTCCTGACTGACTGATCTTCAAAGTGCTTAAAATCTGAATGAATGACATGCTCTCAGTGTCATGCAGTTTCCAGGAAATCTAGCACGGTACCTGGTACCGGAATACGGTACCTGGTACCATTAGGTTCCTGGTCTATCCAGTTGAACCATCTCCCACTACTCTATTATTAAAATATTGTACAGTAAGTCTTGCAGGTAACACTCGTATTCACACTCAAAATTGAGTTTCGTCAGTTCCCGATACGAGATTGGGACGGGTTCTATAAACAAACAAACAAGTCTTTGATTCTAGAACTTGTCTCTAAAATACGGACTAACGGACAATTTCCTAAGTTTAACCAGTAAGTCAGTATTACTAGTTACTACCCTATTAACTACACTACTAATATTACTGCATCACTTTGTTCATTTATTCCACGTAAAATGGGGGCTAATATTGAAAATTAACTGATCCCGTAATAAGTTGGTCCGGGATCAGTAAGTTCAGTGGTACATTTCTTACTGTGCCACTTATAAAATTAATCGGTGCATCCACAAATGTGCTGACTGCTGGTACAATCCGGGTGAATATCTGCAAATTTCTCACTATTATTATACTAGTCAATTATACTTACAAATAGCCAATACTTCCAACTTCAATTTAAACCCGATAATACATAAGATACCTAGATACACTGTACAGTGTACTGCAATCTTAATAAATATATCATACCACTGCAATCTCAATGAATATATCTTACCACTCTAACAGTGTCCAGCCACAACTGTAATGGTACGAGTTAGAGCGTGACAAGTTACTGTGACATGTGACAAGTTACTGTGACATGTGACCAGTTAGCGCTATACCTTTACAGGTTAATGTGACAATTTAGTGTGGCTCGTGCTGTTTGTAAGTGTGAATCTTGATCAGATTCGCGCGCAGAAGACCAGTTGTTAATGTTAATGTTAATGGTGGACAGCATTTCCTGTCACTTCCTATTAGATAATTTGTTAATAAGTATATAATTACAGCTGTATTAGAGGGAGGCTATTGTATTGAAGCACTGAGGATGTAGTTACCATACTAGTTCATATCATCATCATCACCGTGTGTAGTTCCCATCATCATTATCGTGCGTGTACACATTTACTGTACCATGCTTACACACTTACATAATTAGTACACTGTACATTTGTACAAATATATGCACAATGTACTGTAATATGCACAGTGAGTTCCTGGTTGTTTCTAACTGAGCAAGTTTAAATTGAACCCTGAGGATTCGTCCACTTCTAGATTGTTCTAAGTTCCCCCAGGAAATCACGGCTTATTGATGCACACTCTGTGTTGGAACAAATTATGATTAAAAATATATTTGTTTCAACGTGCAAAATCATAGCTCGGATTTTACCCTCCCAGTTAAAATAATTACTGCAGAGAAGTTATTTTATCTGTATGATGTTAACTAATCGGTAGACTTAATAACCGACCTGCATTATTACGGTATGTGTGTTATTGGTATTAAGAAATACCGATATTTAAAAATGTGAGAATTCATTAAGTTATGCGTGTTATTTGCATTAAGATATTAGAGAATTCATTAAGATATGCAGCAGGGAATTTACGTAAAAAGACTCTCGGTGGTCGTAGCAAAACATGGTATATCATGTACCTGTAATACCCCCTAATTGTATTATTTAACGTGCGTAAAAGTCTGTACACACTAAACATTTGTCTTATATATCCTGTGAATTCTGAATGTAAGGTTTCGATGGCACGAATCTGAAGTTGCTATTTATACAACTTCTGTCTAGTGAAATTGACAAAAAGTCATAGAAAATTAAACTAAACACAAAGAGAGACAAAAGTTAAAGAGTGAGCTGTATTTCGTGTTACAACTTACATTTATACAATAATCTTCAGTAGAGTTTTTTTTTCAAGTTCATTAGCCAATTCCACTCTATTCGATTAATTAAAATTGTTATCTTTTACAGTGGTAAAGATAACGAACTATTCTCTCTGAAACACAATGACTAAAACAGTTAATTGACTTAATTTCTCAAGTTCTAAAAGACAGGTTCGACCGGGGATTGAACCCGGGACCTTCTGCGTGTAAAGCAGACGTGATAACCACTACACCACCGAACCGAATATAAAACTTTGCTTTAAATTAGAATTCAACACAAGAGATCTAGAAGTTCAACTTCGCTGAACTTCGGGTCACTTGCTGGACATAAGATATAATCTAACTAATAATCCCAGAATGTGTGTCTGTCTGTCTGTTTGTAATTTCCGAGCGGCTTAATCAAGAAAACGGTAAGAGTTGCGGGACTGATTTTTTCGGTAAAGTGCCGACAAAACTCTGACGAAGTTAAATGATAAAGGTTTTATAAATCGGTCGTTGGTAGGTGGTTTAATTGATGGTTTTGTACCACAAATGTTACATAATATGGCTTGAGCAGAACGGTAAGAGTTACGGGGCTCGCATATATATATGTAGCTGCATAATTAGTGTAATTGAGTTACCCGGGTAAGATTCGCTGTCTATACTATAATCTTATTAGGGGAGGGGGCACTGTTTGGACTGCAGAGAGAGAGTTCATACTTTCATACGACAATGCTATGCGTGTTCACAAATATGATAGGCGGGTGTGGTGTTAAGGGTTAATTTCTATTGATTATTGTTTCAGATACTATTACTATTGTTTAAGATACCATTGGATACGTGAGGGCACTCCGAATAGAATTGCTCACCTAATGCGGGTTCTGACTCAACGGGTAAATGCTCCTACCCTTTTTAACTGCGGCAGTGAAATCCCGGCCGAAGGCCGGATTACACTAGTCCTTATATAATATGTGTGGGAAAAAATAAAAAAGGATTGCTAGATCAGAGCGGTAGACGCACTCAAGTTCAACACGCACTCTAGTTCGACACGAGCTGTAGTGTTTTCCACTTGTCTCATGCTGTTCAACTATGTGTGAATGTAATCTTTATAATCCATATTTATGAACATTTAATTGACCTCATACTCAATTGTAAGTTAGCAGAATTGTAGATTTAGCGGCGGGATAAAAGACTATCGTGGTAACCCGTACTCCGTTTTATAGATCTAGATTGTAGAGTACGCATTATAAATACAGGGTGAGTTGAAAATAGTGTGTGGAAAGTAAAAATCGATAATTTTTTTTATGAAGGAGCAAATTTTGAAAGGTGAATTGCTATCAGTTCATAAACTTTACATATTTCATTCTTGCCTCTCATTTGATTCTAACTCATAATTTGGTTGATTTTTGGCAGTTTTCCAAAAATCTTAAATTCGTCCTAATGGGGTTCTCAAATCGTGTGCCCTGAAAATCGAGTCTAAAAATCTATATTATTCTCCTACATTTTTAAAGCAATCACCCTGAAACTTTCAGGATATGCACAGTGGGCTACCATGCTAGCATAGGCCTAAAATCGACTTTCTTAAATTTCTTTGAAAATAAGCTTTCCTTATTGTAAAACGCTAGCCCGATTTCATGCAAAAAACCGTAATTAAAAACTTTGCAAGATGCCAAAATGGCGTCGCGTGAAAAAATAGCATTTTTCACTGTCAAGAAATTTTGCCTTTTTTAGCCAAAAATTGCCTAATATTTATTATTTTGGGCTAAAATGCTTGATCAAGGCAGTTTTTAATAATTGAAATACAGTATAGTACTTAAGAATACTCAGCCATCTAAAAAAAACTGTGTGACTTTAACATTTTCACCTGATTTTTGACCGCGCCTTTTTTATGGCGTGTATTTTAGGCAATTTTTGGGGTATTTAACGACAAAAATCGTTGTTGGTTTGCAATAGTTCGGTAAAATGCATGGTATCATCAGAAAGCTTAGACAATTCCCTATCAGATGCAATAAGAATCACTTTGGGCAGTTTTGGGCAACTCTGTTTACAAAATTAAGAAACTCAAAAATTGGGTAAAATTTGCTGCATTTTTAGATAATTTATGAGCTCAATTTTGCTATTAAATTGACATATTTTAGTTATTCTCCATGTTTGTGGCATTTTTTGCACCCTAGACCAGATGCATATGGATGAAAAATCAAAATATCACAATTATTATAGTTAAAATTGATAAAAATCCAAAAAATCGTGATTTTAAACGAAATTTTTGAAAATAACAGGAACAATTTTGGTGTTTCAGAAAATTTTGGTCATATAAATAGGCACAACTTTTGTTCTGATCAATATTTTTTCATAATTCAAAAAGATTTGAGTTCCTAAGATAGCTGTCCTTCGTTTACAGTTCATAAAAGAGCTTTAAAATTGATTAAACCTCTAAAAAAACAACTTTTCCTGGGATCAGCCTCCTATTTTTGTACTACAAGATTGCTCAAAATCGGCCCAAAATTTTTTTCTGAGACATTTTCGGCCCTGTAAATGATTGGAATCGTATTTTTGTACCCAAATTACCTTAGAAACAAAGTTAGGGGCATGTGTGATGGTCTAAAATACCCTATGCTAGCATGACCCCCACTCACAGCCCACTGTGATATGTTCTAGGGATCATTTAAAAGAGATGAGCCAGACAAAATTTTGAGATAGGCCTTTTAAAAAATTTTATTCGATTTTGAAAATCGTCGACCTCAAAAAATCATCAAAAAACGAGGTCCAAGATTTTCAAAATAGAATACAAAGTCGGCTATAGACAATTGTCTTACACGTTATCAATATGTCCTAGCTAATAAAGGACGATGGGTTGAGCAAATTATTAATTGTTAAGTATTTTAATTGTATTATTATTAAAAGTATATATTTTCATTACCTAAATATGCAAAAATTAAGTGGACATTTCATTTGTCAAAAAAATTAGAGCCATTTACTTTCCACACACTATTTTCAACTCAACCTGTATCTACCACATACCGCACTTTATATTATCACAAATGACTAGTAACCGAGTACCAGTCTAGAGATTTGGCTGCAAAACCGGAAACAGTCGGATATCAATCTATTTTCCTGTTAGCTAGATCAGAACCGAGTGGCAAACAGGACAATTTTTGTAAAGCACTAGTACTTCTAGTACTCTAATTTCACGTACTCTAGTTCGACAAGCACTATAGGTCGACAACTTAAGTTCGCCAGATATCACCCCTGTCGAACTTCGGTACGTGTCGAACTAGAGTCCAAGTAGCGTGCTATAGTTCGACAAATAGTTTCTGCTTGTGATCCAACGGCTATTGCCGGGTCCTCATCATAGGATTACAGGGTCCAATGGCAGATACAACTATTTTCTGACATCTAGTAACCAGCGGTTAGAAATTCCAGAACCTTTCAGTATAGTTTTAAGATTATATAACAGCACGGATCAAGCCGTTTTAACGGTTTTTGTCAGCCTGAAGTTGTCATTCCACAGAATAATAATACCAGACAGTTTACCGTTGTCAAGTTATCCCAGATTGTTGACATTGTTTGTTGACATACCTAACATGTCTGGAAATATAACCCGGATTGTTTGCTGACATACCTAACATGTCTGAAAATATAACCCGGATTGTTTGTTGGCATACCTAACATGTCTGGAAATATAACCCAGATTGTTTGCTGACATACCTAACATGTCTGGAAATATAACCCAGATTGTTTGCTGACATACCTAACATGTCTGGAAATATAACCCAGATTGTTTGTTGACATACCTAACATGTCTGGAAATATAACCCGGATTGTTTGCTGACATACCTAACATGTCTGGAAATATAACCCGGATTGTTTGTTGATAATACTCATATCCCTAAACTGTCTGTACTATCGCTGTTAAGTAGGTTTGTGGGCGTCGGTAACTGAGAAATTGCACTGTGTTTCAACTTGTATTATTGTAGCGGGATAAGATATTATATTTTATTATTATAACATATGCCCTGACCAGTGACCTAGATGTTTAGCTATGAGAATACTTGTAGAGCGTCGGAGTCTAGGAATGCCAGGGAGTCTAGGAATGCCAGTATTAAACTGCTATTACGTCTGTATAAAGCGTTGAAATGATAACTTTGAAATGATAACTTTGAAATGATAACTTTGAAATGATAACGTTGAAATGATAACGTTGAAATGATAACGTTGAAATGATAACGTTGAAATGATAACGTTGAAATGATAACGTCAGTAATATAACTAATATTAATCTGAGCGGTGAGGGTGTGATTAAGTCAGTCATGAGGTGAATAAGGTTTGAAGTTTCTGAGAATCTGGTTTTGTAAATATTATATACTTTACCTTGCAGTGAAGGAAGGCTATTTCCTCGGAAAACTAGGTACAATGATCCGGGCCGTGTGAAAAACTTATAAATTAAGTATTTCTTCCTAATTCGCGATTGTCACTTTCATTATTGTGGGAAAATCACCCGATGATATGTAAAGAATGTAAGACTAAATCTAGCTGTAAAATTACAATTACTTTACATAGCATCTAGTGAGAATGGAACTTTTCTCATTATTCCCATGATCTAACGATGAACAATATCTTATATCAGTACACGATGGAAATATTAGAATATTGACATCTTGGAGGACATTAAATGGTGACACCTGAAATGAATTTGCTTATGAAGCGCTCTGACCATACTTATTAGCTTATTATCTCATCTTCTAATCATATTCTTAATCCAACAGTTTCTATAGCAAGCTTAGAGTGTGTGACCTTTGAAGAGACACCTTGCTTCAAGCCAATAGTGTTTCCACTTATTAAAGGTTGCGATTTTATAAGTTGGTGAAACCACACCTAGAATAAGTGAAACAACATTGGATCACTTAAAAGTGCAGCTTGGTTGTGGAATTGAGTGTCTCAAGTAGTGGATATAGCTGATTACTATAGTAGTGGGAGTTATACCAAGAATTATTAATTATAAGTCAAATTACAATTGTATCGACTATAAAATCTCAAAACAAGATTCGGAGACATATGGAGTGGTTTGAGTGGGTGCTCTAAATAAATTAACTTATCATCTATTCAGTATTCACTTATTAAATTGATTGCAAAATGTTCGTTGCTTTCAACCTTAGAACAAGATACATACCATGAATTCTACGCATATTTATTAATCTGTAACATTAATTACATTCCTCACAATTAACACTAGAACACTCACCACCTTAATAATCTAGGATTGAGTTTCTGAGTTAACCTCGTTAACCCCACCATATTATGACCCTGTCAGGGTTGTAACTGTTGGCAACATTCGACAAATCTTATTTCTAATATTATCAAATACACTTTTAATAGTGTTAAGTAACGCTGACAATTTGTCAGATAAAGCCAAAGGACAAATTAAATATCTCAAATGCTGAGGAACACTGAAAATAATGAACTATGAAATTTAATTTCTGTGCAATGTAATAAAGTCGAAAGTAACTATTGCTCTTTTCAGTATGCCTCAATTTTACGTCCTCCAACTAAAATTAATGATGACGGTGAAGACGAGATCGATCTTATTGAATGGAGACAGGTATGTTTCATTAATTATGATACACAATGTATTAATTATGATACATAATGTATTAATTATGATACATAATGCATTAATTATGATACATAATGTATTAATTATGGTGCTGGAATGCTTGTTAAAGTTAGATAAACTTAATACAATGTGTGACCTGTGTGGCCTTCCTTCAAATTGAGTTGCAAGTATCTGCATGTTAATTTATCAGATTCAATCACACACACACACACACACACACACACACACACACACATCATAATATGTCCACAGAAAGGTTAACTGTAGTAAATCTTATCAAAGACTAAAGGAACAGCCCTGAGCCCACAAAATAATAAAGGACGAAGGTGAAAGGCAGAAGGTAGATATGTAGATATGGCTGCTTCGTAAAGCACAAAGAGAAAGTTACAGCAGCACAGTAATGTATTAAAGCAAAGGACCGGGCTCCATCCAGATTCCTGTAGATGTTAATCTAATCTGAAATTTCATGATACACAACAGATCGGTCGGAATTATCATACTGGCATTGTCACACTTTTGACATTTTGTCAATGTAAACGTAGCGCGCATCGAGATTCTGCTGATGCGATGACTTTTTTAAACATTTACTGTGACATGAACTATAGATCGATCGACCTAAGCGCAGCGCGCATTGTAGGATTAAATTTTGAATTTCGCTGACTTTCACTATCTTTGACATGCACGAACTCGGATTTAAATTACCGCGTATGTACAACAACAATTTCTGGACCGCTCTTTCGACTCAGTCGAATCGACTGTCGAACTACAGTCCAAGTAGCACACTAAAGTTCGACAGAGTCTAACTTTTAGTCTGAGACGAAACGGAATCTCGTTAGCTTTTCGTGTTAAAAGCGATTTCTCAACGGTTATCACCTCTCTAGATGATTCTTAAAACATTTGGACTTCATTGCATTTTTGAAATAAATACAATGAGGGCGTTAAACTGCATCCAACAGATCTCAATCCAGGGATTACAGACCAATATTGGTCGAGAGAGTGAAGTCAATTATGATTATAAAGTGGGGTACTGGTCAGTGGTCAAGCGACAATCTGGCCCGGATCCAGTGCCGATTTATTTTAGGTCCGGTATTCTTGGTACATATATTATGGTTTCATGGCATGAATAAATAAAAAGTTGAATTTTGGTCATTACATTTTGGCTAAATTGGTGTCAATGAAAAATTGTTGGAGTTTTCACAAATCATGCAGTATAGTTAAACTTATTTACTAATGACTCCTAAAGTGAGCGTTTTTGAGTATATGATGTGCATGAGTCGGCAATTGCAAACAATTTGCTGTTAGCAACTGACCCATTGACCTTTACTAAAGAAACCGTAATTTTGAAAAATTGCCATTTCGTAAGACACAAATATGCTGCTGGCCTGGCCCATTAAGAGAGATGCCCAATAAAGTAGATCATTCTCCAATTTTTGTAGGTGTTTCTGGACACAAAGTGAGTCATCTTACATCTTGTGACAAATGCTGTGTTGCTCATGAGTCTTTGAGACCTTTCTAGTTAACAGTCCAATAGCCCATTTGTGAATATTGTCATTGTTCGCTCGGCAAAAATCCGTTTTTCAGCCACATTTCCGAAAATAAGCCTTTTAGGGTATATGTTGCTTCATAAGTTGTATATAAGTGTGGCCATTATGTACATTTTAGTGTATCAGAATAGTCTCTACGACATTCCTAGGCGGAAATGCCAAAAATCACGGAAATTATGAACTGTGTCGAGCCAAAAACCGTTTTTCGGCCATATTTCCGAAAAGAAGCATTTTAAGGTAAAATGTGCCTAATAGCCACATTTATATACAACTTATTAAGCAACATATATATGTTGCTTAATAAGTTGTATATAAATGTGGCTATTAGGCACATTTTGGTGTATGATCGGAATAGTCTTAAAGACCTTCCTGGGCTGAAATACAAAAATTCGAGTGACCGCGAAACCCTGAAAAAGGGTGTGGCCGAAAACGCCCTCATTGCATTATTTCAAAAATGCAATGAAGTCCAAATGTTTTAAGAATCATCTAGAGAGGTGATAACCGTTGAGAAATCGCTTTTAACACGAAAAGCTAACGAGATAGCCTTTTAGAACGGTTGGGATCCGACTATTTAGAGTTTATCGAACTTGAGTGCTTGTCGAACTTCTGTCCGTGTCGAATGTGTACCGATTTCCGAAAATCTGAATGATAAATCATATCACCATTTTCTGTGTTCGTGCTATTACTACGGGAAATTTTTGAAAAATACATGTGGTTCCAATCCCCCATGGTAGCTCAGTTGGCAGAGCGGAGGAGTGTATAGATGTCAACCTGATATAATCCTTAGGACTTAGGTCACCAGTTAAAATCTGGTTCGTCGGACACTACTTTTTGAAGGTCAACTAGTCTTTAACAAGAGGTCGATCCTTATTGTAGCTGCTCCATCTGAACTGTAACCATGGCCGTGGTTGATGCTATAGTTTATTCCATACCCAACTTATTCCTTCTGCCTCAGATGTTAGACCTGTTGTGGAGTGACCCTAAAGCTGCAGTTGGATGTGAACCCAACACTTTTCGGGGAGGCGGCACATACTTCGGACCGGACATTTCAAAAGACATTCTGGATAAACACAACTTCAAACTGCTGATTCGGTCACACGAGTGTAAGCCTGATGGTTATGACGTGACCCACGACGGTCTGGTATGTAGCAATTATTTGGTGGGAATAAGAGAGTTAAATCTTAATTTTAATTGAAATATCAATCGAAAATCTACTGATCTTCTTCTAAATCGTAGATTGATAATCAAATTATGCCGGATTCGAGGCTCATCATTAAACTGGTGTTAATACTTAATACCATGCAAAGTTAGTTAAGCGATTTAAAACAGGCTATGTTCGGATTATGAACGTATCTTCTCTACAGGTAGTGACAATATTCAGTGCAAGTAATTACTACGAAGCCGGGAGTAATTTGGGAGCCTACATAAAACTGGGACCAAGTCACAAGCCTCAGTTCATCCAATTTTCGGCTACTGAAAACACCAAACAGTTGCCACTATATTCAAGGTTTGCTTTATTCAATATTCTAATATTATATCCTGTTTATGTCTATATTTCGCCTCAATCAATCCGTAAAACATTTACTTAAGTTTAACGTGTTTATCTTCAGCACGCCTGTTTTCACCTGAAATGATTTTTACCATGACAATTTTTCAGGGTAAGTAAGGTTGAGAGTTCTGCTTTGCGAGATCTGAGAACTCAAATATTTTCGAATAAAGGACGACTACTGGACGCGTTCGAAAGTCACGATACGGAGAAAACAGGTAGGCACGAGGCCCCAGCTATAATAAGCTGTAATAACCTATAGTTAGCTTGTAATTGTCGTAATTGAGTTGAATTATTCGTCGCTGAACAGAAATCTGGGCATTTGATTGGTTTACAGTGGCCGGTTAACTGAGAAATGCCTCGTATTAAATCTCACTGAACAAGTTTTGTCCAGGTCTCATAACAATGATGGAGTGGACAGAGTCAATGAGTAGTGTTCTAAACCTCGACCTACCGTGGAGGACTCTCCGGTCAAAACTTGTCGAAGTGGATGATGAAGGGTGGGTTGAAAATTGTTGGATTTTTAGTTTCGATACTACAGAACATTGTTTTGTTCAAACTGTTCCGTTGTTACCAATTATGTTGCAAACAGTCTAAGTGGCCTGTTTGCAAATTTTTGTCAATTTTCAGGAAGATAAAATACGATAGCTGTTTCACGGACGGTACGATTGAGGGGAGTATCGCAAATAAGCAAGTAACTGAGACGATATATCGACAAAGAAACATTCTGGAAACAATATTCAGGCTCCTTGATACCGACAACTCAGGTTTCAATCTAGCGAATTTAATAAAGTCTGAAACGTGAAATACAAAATTGATATAAAATGATGCAGTGAACATTTTTGTTTCCCTCTAAGATTTCGATTACTAGCTTGGCGCAAGTGAGAACTATACATTTTCATCTCTATGCGAATTTTTAACTGTGCTCCACTCACCTACATGCAATATTTCTTTTTTAAATGAATCATTAACTAACAAGCGAACTAACTGAAACTAAGAACGCGAACGCAGGCTTAATAAACTTCACTAATACAAACTGACGAGCACATCGTGAGATAATCTCAAGTTTCTCACGGAACCCCTTATGATTTCAGGGCTGTTATCACGTGAAGAGTTAAGAGCAGGGTGTGAACTCCTGGCCAAACATAACGGCTCAATCTCCCTCTCCCCTGATGACCTGGACAACCTAGTGGACACCATGGACATCAACAAGGACGGGGAAATTAACTTCAACGAGTTTTTGGAGAGTTTCAGAATGGTCGACAACAAGTTTTCCAATGGGAATATTTGACCATGACACTATCGATTTATTAATGATTATGTAGAATTGAATGTTCGATGTTCATGCTGACAAAGTGAAAAGTCAAGTTTACCGAATTAGATAGACCAAGTATGAATGAATAATGAATGCAGCTTGTTTGTTCATGTTGCATCTTAATGTGCTTGATCATTAGGTGTAGAAATATTTACTAAATTACGATGCATAGCAAGCGATAACTATTGTACATTGTTTGATTGTGCAGGATTTGTTCTGAATTAGTTGATGATGATCGAAAATACTTGCTTTTTATGTAGATAGTTTCAGTTAACATCGTTTAATTTTCCTCAGATGCTTAAAGTTCCTGTCCTCCTTAATGATAATTTATTGTATGTTTCGGAACAAAATCTATCGACACTGAGAGCACCATCGAACAATTTGTAGCATTTTCACTTATCAATTTCAATAATTTTGACTTAGCTGGGATTTGACTGCCTCGTAGAAGAGTTGTTCATAAAGTTGTTCCTTATAAAGCTATTTTGTGACCAATAGTATGTTTATTATTTGACACTGGGAATGAACTGTAGGCAGAACAGGGCTGGTGGCTGTAAGATCTATAACAGGTAAATTTATACTGTTCATGGCCATTGGCCGAGTCTATTGATGATGTTGTGGTTTTCGTGTTATGTATTGCATTTTGTGGTATGATTAAGTGTGTTAGTTTTGCTTATTTTGTAAAGAATAATTCTATTTACATCTTCACTAGGAAAAAGAAACTTGAACATAGATATCTTACTTTGATGAACTACAAGTTTCTATCGAGTGTGTAGTGCAATACTCAGATTTTTGTCGCTGAGTATTTTTGCCAAAATTATGGCACTTATTATAGGTTAAGGTACCTAAGCTTATAGGTTGTAGCACTATGACAGTCAGACCTCTCTAAATCATTATAACGCAGGTCTATGAAGGGAATAAAATATTCAACTTTCAATTTTGGACCACGTTTTGTAGGTCCAAATGAACCATGTTTTATTGGGTTGATGGTGGAAATCAAGGGGGTAATAAACCAACCAAAAGGTTCGGCGTTATCATGTTGTCAAGAGGTTTTGGAGAGGTCAGTCTGAAGCATTGTCTATACTATGTACCATATTACGATGTAAGTGTACATATCATAAAACGTTTAGAAATTAAAGTAGGCACATTAATTGTAATTTATTTGTATATTCTATTTAATATGAGTTGCAAGTTTTACAATCAATTTTCAAATCCGAAAAATGTATCGACTTGTCAATTTGTCTGTGATTCTGATTGAGTGATAGTGATAGCTATATTAATTGGATTTAATTGAATGACGCGTACGATGCCAACTATTTCTTAACGGGTGATACTCGTAAAATATCTGTTCCATCGACGAGTCCAACTCGGCGCGCGTCCTGGTTGCTGGTATAAGTTATAAACCTACAAGTACAAACTATTTGCAGCTCGTAGCTCTGCATGCTACGATCTCGTAGCATAATGTGCATAAGGACACGTTCATAAAAAGGTGGCACTAGAGATTGATTTTTCACTGCCAAAATTGTGTGAAGCATTTTAAAATACTTGTATCTCAAGGAGTATGCTATGAAACTTAACCAAATTTTAATATGTGGTCCAAAAAGAGTCAAATGTCACATAATTAAATCATTCATCTCTTTATATCTGTTAATTGTGCAGATATGAGCCAGAAATCACAAAATATTCATTTCTTGCACCTCTAATGATGAATTTACATTCTGTGAGTGTGTCCTGCTTCTCAATGTGATTATTGAACCTTTTTGAGATAGTTGAGTGTTAAAAGTGCAAAGAGTCACCGGTTAAATGTGGAGTTATGATGCAATTATCACACACAGGGTTAATTCTGACTAATTATTTTAGAATGATGAATTTGATATGAATATCAACGGAATGATTGTAATAATGAACTCTATCGATCACAATTATAGCATGCTAACTAATATTTAGAGAATTTAGATGGTTAAAAGTGCCATAATGAGTCAAAAATCACATAAATGAGCATGTATTGAAATGATGCTGTATCAGGGGAATGTATCACTTTTTGGCTCTATATCAGGTTGGTATTCATAGTAAATCTGCAGTGATTTGTTGTGACACTTGTTTATGGTCATGGAGAAGTTCGTTATTAGAGTAATAGTGGAATCAATAATCACAAAACACTGATTTTAAACAGAGTAAACTAGGCAAGTACTTTTACTACTCAAGCCATGATAATTTTGTCTCCATAATGTGACAAATGAATAAAACAGTAACGTATAATACTTAATTGGATTTTTGAAATGTGATTATCGATTCATTACCTTTCCTTTCAAAATGTCATTACAACTTGAACATTACATATGATTCAATTGTCACACTTTAAAGAAAATTACATATCACAATGCTGTCAAGCATTACCGTCGCCCTTATATTCACAATACTATTTACCCCCTATACTAGTATATCCCCTTTATTGTTTTCCAGGCATTAAGACTCATCGAAAGTAGTTCAGCAGGCATTTTTAAGTTCAAAACATTCTAATTCAATGTTAAAGATGACAGGAATAAGAAATAGTTATGTGGAGGTTTTTAAGAAATTTGCGCAAAATACCTTATCGGACCTTATTTGGACGGACATTACATGAACGGACACAATTATGAACGGACATTAATATGAACGCTCGAAGGCATTCAAAACCATCAAAAATCCGAATTTTTGTTGACGTTTTTTTGACTTTTTTTTAATTTCAGCAAATGATTTTTAAATCCATTTTTTATAGAGTAAGTAAGAAAAGCGGTCATTAAGCAGTAAAAATGTTTAAAAATGTGTACATGATTAGTGTTTAATATCACATATCATCTTCATCAAATGGGTTTTCGTGCATGAAATAGTCCATGCTTAAACTCATCAGTGATTTCTAGCTTTATGGAAACATTTTTTTTAATCAAACTACCCCGGTCCTGCATTTCAGTGTTAACTTTTACAAGCCGTTCGGCGTGAAGTGGTTTTATCTTAGACAACTTAAGGTTAACCTTAACATCACGTGGAGCTTTCCTAGCACTGTTTCATCACCGCCCCCGAGTAATATGAACTATGACAACGTCGGACAATGTCCTTGGCAACACGATTTACCGTAATATCTAGAGGCTGGAACAAGTTTGTCATGTTGGCGGGACTAGTTCATGAACTATGTTGTTGAGTGCCATAATTTCGTTGACTTTTTTCCGTCAAGTGACCCTTGAAAACATCATATATACTAGTAGTAGTAGTAGTAGAGTTTTCTGTGCCTCCGGCAGACCAAGGAGAACATTTCCGTCGTTAACTTACGGCACAATAAAGTTCTCAGAGTTGTCATATTCTGGACAAAAAGTTCGAAATGGAAAAATTTTTGAAAAAATTTCAACGGACTTTAACTTGGACGGACATTAATTGAACGGACTTTATTTGAACGGACATTAAGATGAACGCTAGGGCCTCCAGCGTTCAAGTAACGTCCGTCCAAATAAGGTCCGATAAGGTACGCGCCAGCATGTTATACGAAATTAGGCAAAAACCCAAAATCGCCATATTCAGGTGCCTTAAAAACCATGTTAAAATTGAGTTAGAGATATGAAACTTTGCAGGGCGTCTAGACCTTGTCCAAATCGACTGTAAAAAAATTTCATGTTTCAGGAGTATCGGGAAGTGGGTTTTCTGGAACCCCTGTTTTACAACAGATTGTCGTGAAGTATCACAATGCTGGCAAGCATTACCGTCGCCCTTATATTCACAATACTATTTACCCCCTATACTATTATATCCCCTTTATTGTTTTCCAGGCATTAAGACTCATCGAAAGTAGTTCAGCAGGTATATTTAAGTTCAAAACATTCTAATTCAATGTTAAAGATGACAGGAATAAGAAATAGTTATATGGAGGTTTTTAAGAAATTTGCGCAAAATACGCGCCAGCATGTTATACGAAATTAGGTAAAATACCCAAAATCGCCATATTCAGGTGCCTTAAAAACCATGTTAAAATTGAGTAAGAGATCTGAAACTTCGCAGGGCGTCTAGACCTTGTCCAAATCGACTGTAAACAAAATTTCATGTTTCAGCAGTATCGGCAAGTGGGTTTTCTGGAACCCCTGTTTTACAACAGATTGTCGTGAAGTACCTTATCGGACCTTATTTTGACGGACATTACTTGAACACTGGAGGCCCTAGCGTTCATCTTAATGTCCGTTCAAATAAAGTCCGTTCAATTAATGTCCGTCCAAGTTAAAGTCCGTTGAAATTTTTTCAAAAATTTTTCCATTTCGAACTTTTTGTCCAGAATATGACAACTCTGAGAACTTTATTGTGCCGTAAGTTAACGACGGAAATGTTCTCCTTGGTCTGCCGGAGGCACAGAAAACTCTACTACTACTACTACTAGTATATATGATGTTTTCAAGGGTCACTTGACGGAAAAAAGTCAACGAAATTATGGCACTCAACAACATAGTTCATGAACTAGTCCCGCCAACATGACAAACTTGTTCCAGCCTCTAGATATTACGGTAAATTGTGTTGCCAAGGACATTGTCCGACGTTGTTATTGTTCATATTACTGAGGAGAGGTAATGAAACAGTGCTAGGCAGGGGTGTGCGCCGCCGCCGAACGCCGCCGCCGCCGCCGCCGAGTTTTTAGCCCACGCCGCTGCGCCGAACAATTTATCGGCGGCGCAAACGGCGTGAACGTGGTATTTTTAAAATTTGAATTTTCAAAAAATTACTTAAAAAAACGTCAAGTAGTTCAATCTAGCATAATATGTAATGTTTCATGAAATTGTGAAAAGTCAATCCTTTACCTCAGCAATGAATTTCCATTTTGTCGAGTCACAACTGAAACTGCCAATTGTCCACAGGCCACGCCGCCGAACGCCGCCGCCGCTAATTTTGGCCACGCCGCCGATTTTGGTAGAACACAGCGGCGCACACCACTGGTGCTAGGAAAGCTCCACGTGATGTTAATTAGGTTAACCTAAAGTTGTAGGTTAAATTACGCAAAATTTTTACCTCAGATAATCAATTAATTGGATAATTATCAATTAGCTAATTAGCAAAAATTTAAAATATTTTTATTGGCTCAAAATGATCGGAATCCGAATAGCTTAAAACACGGAGAAAAGTAGTTTTTACAAAAGCTTCGAAAATTTTTCTCTTACATTTTTTTTCAAGACTGAACAAATTTCGAAATTTTTTTTCGACAAAAGTTATTTAATTGCATGAAACGTGGAGAAAAATGCTTTTTAAAAAAACTTCGTGAATTTTTGTTTTCAAGAATACTAAAATAAATCACTTACATTTGTAGTTGGAGTTCAGTAAATCTCGGCAGATTTTAGCAATCAGGAATTACTAAATCGAAATAAATAAAAGAACTGAAACTGAAAAACGTTAACCACAGGATATTAGAGATTCATAATTAATTACAGTACATGCAAAGGGGATGGACTCGAAAAAGTTTTGACTTAAAAAAATGTTCGGTCCGAGTCATTCTCGATAAGTCCAAAATATTTTCGGCTAATAATGAACAGGGTAGCATGAAACGTGGAGAACAGAGGAATTTGTTTCCCTTTGAATCAATCAAACTAGATGAATTGTTGTAAATACTGAGATCAAACTATCAATCTACAGGCTATCGTCAAACATGTTGCAAGGCGTCATCTTCAGTGACATAAGCCCTAGAAATTGTAAAAAGTTAGTAAAACCCAAAATTCCTTTAAAAATCTGAACACTCTTAAAACGGTTATAAAGTTAAAATTAAGATGTTAGGAGTAATGGAAGGCCAAAAGGATTTATAGTGTTAATTCCCAAAGGTTTTAAAGTCTTGAGTAGTTGAATATATTTATGTTCACGGACATCCAAAGTTTTAGGACTAGAATTATCAATAATTGACACATTAAAAATTTTGTTAAAATCTTCCCTTTGTCTAAAACCATGATCCAACTAATGTAAACCCAAACTATATTCATCACTTGTTTCATCTACCTTATCACCATTTAAAAGTTTATAATATTTGACCCTATGTTCTCCAGTCCTAACCCGTAGAGATCGAGTTGTGCGACCGACGTAAGCCTTTCCACAGACACTACATTGGAATAGATAAATGATGTTGTAGCTCTGGCAGTTTCCAGGGGAAGCTTTAACCTTCTTGCCGTTCACTTTGAATTCACGGGTGCCTTTGACAAGTTCACAACATTTGCATCTTGGCACATTGC